TCTGAGATATTATTGATGTTGGATTCAAATTCGAGAGTGATCAAATAGAGTTTTAATGTTCGATTGATGGAACTCAAAAATCGAGGTAATACATTACTACCTTATGCATGCTTTATGGAACATGTTGGTATTGGTAAATACATTGATTAATATTTTTGGTCTCATCTGTATAGTTAATTATTTCTAAACTCGATCTGAATGCGGTAAAAAGTCAGTAACTGAATAAAACTTTAATGGCTCGTATAAGACACTAGAAGACTGATAAGAAATAATTTCAGGTTCAGTGATTAACCAATAAAGAAATCAATCTCAAAATCATCAAATTCTAATTATTTTCATTAAAAACTTTAATATCGGAATCACCTGGTTAAGAAATTAAGAAATTACCCGTATGAGGTAAAAATGCTCCATACTAACCCTGATAGTAAAAGTGCCCTGAGAATTCGTATTTAATCCAACAAACTACAGATGCATTTAGTGGATGACATGGATAAGCCTAGAAACGCTGATGAATTTATATGTTGAACCGTCTATAAGGGTTAGGAACCCCGAATCAAGCACATCAACATTTCTTGATAACGTTGCAATACAGAAATGAAATAAATACCATTGGACTACTTGTTCGTATCCCTAAGATCCATTCAACGATGATTCTAAAGGTGATCAGTTCAACTAGATCAATCAATATTAAGAAGTGAATAATGGTGTAGTATCTCGGTTTGATTGATTGACATATATCACAATTTTGTGATTGGATAGTTTAATTGGACTCAAAATCCTGATAATTCGATATAAATCCTAAATAACATAAATTGTTGTTTCACTCTCATTGGGTTAAATTAGTAAGAATTCATCAAGAAACCAAAATGTCTAAAATTCCTCTGATTGTCTGAATAATAGAATCACTCCTATCATATCCAAAATCTCTAGTAACTCTGATGTAAAAGATTCTGAATACCTTCCTGACTACTTAGTGCCTCCGAAAAATATTTGAATACTATGTGATCTTGATAAATCAATTCTCGAATGATTGATGAATTCGTTAGCTATCAAACCCCTTTTATAGGGATCTTATTTCTAGAATCATATCAATTTACAAAAGTTTTGTGGCTCCATAATTGATAAATACCAAGTACCTCTAGAAAATCTTTGAATCCTCTAGTGTGTTCCATATATGCCATAAGATTAATTTATTTGTCCTTATATGTGATTTAATGATGTATTGATTTACTGTTTATGAACTATGATACCTGATATGTGCTATCTGATTTTCTGTTTTCACTGAAAATATAATCGTTCCTGGTTTATGGATCATGGAATCTACTGGTTACTACTTGAACTATTTTGTTGGGACACTATCTGGGTAGGTTGGAGTATGAAGTTCAGCTCTGATCAAGCTGGTAATTCCTTATGGACCTAAGGTATTCCTTGGGTAGGCTCTAAGGCCCCAAGGCACTCCCTTAGTAGGGGGACTGTATTTTGGTGTACGGATAGAGAGCATTCATGTTATTTAATAACTACATTGTCATTTACAACATTCTACTGTATCATGATTTTTATATTAAAGTTACTGCTCAATCTGATTTCTACTAGATACTATATGGGTAGGATTCTAGAGTATAAGGTTCAGCTCTGATCAAGTTGGTAATTCCTTACGAACCTAAAGAGACCCTTGGGTAGGCTCACAGGCTCCAAGGTACTCCCTTAGGGTGGCTCATTTGTTGTGTGCTTAGGGTAAGTCCTTATGGATGCAGTTCTGGGGAACTGTATATTGGTGTTCAGTTTGAGGGTATTACTGTGGTTTAAAAATATGTTTAAACTACTAATGTTTTTAAAGGATGTGTATACATTTCTCTGTTTTGTTAGGACACACTAGACTCCCCAATTTAATATTCTGAATATGTCTCTATGAATACTTCATTCAGACCGTGAATCCCTGTTTGTAACTAAGACTTAGCTAATAAAATCTAAAATTATCGATAGAATCTGATGATGTCTATCCCACTCTATGATTTACCTTATACTTGACGGCTTATTGCATTTATCTGGTACTTCTGTATTATTGAGCTTCCCAGAGCTCACTCTTCTACTTACCATTTTAAGTTAAAGAGTTTGATCATCTACTATTATTGACATCAGTAAAGGTGTTACATCGGCTTTACTTGCGGAGTATGGTGCATGTAATTAGGGGCATGTAGGTTGTATTTTGATTTTCTATTCGAGCTTGAAATTTTTTATTATTGGATATTACTGAATTCTATTCTAACGATATGAATGATTTCTGAAGTTGTATTTTTATTTATAATTGTTTTACCCTCTCAAATCATTTAACAAAATTTTAAAAAGTTTCCAGGATTTTTAGTTTGGGTCGCTCTAGTGGCCCTAATGTAACACCTCAGATCGGATTGGGTTATCGTATTGTCTGAGGGGATTACAATGATGGTTTAGGAGCATGTGGTTCAAATTTGGTAAAAATGGACTTAAAATGAAGGATGACTTGAAGGATTAATGAAATCAAATACTAAAGCGTAAAATTGTCAATATTTAGTCAAATTTCCAGTTTTTTAGTAACTCAAATTTCAAAATTTCAACTTGACTCGAACTCAAAAACCGAATTGGTAAGCCGAGTGGACTCGAATAACTCAAAATTAAAAAAAAATCTATTTTTTGAGTCGAGCGAGTTTTGCTCACCCTTAATATTAGGCATGGTTTTGAAAAAAATAGTTGAGTAACCAAAACAAAACCAAAATAATAGTTGGGTGACTAAATATGTAGTTTACCCTAAAATCTAATTAGGCCTATGTTATCACTAACCACTTAACTATTTGACCTTTTTACTTTAACCGTTGATCTTTCAATTTTGTTAATAAGATCACTTAATTATATAATTATTTTCAATAAAACCACTAGACGTTAATAGTTGACGAAAATATTGATGTGATAGTTAAAAAAATTAGCATAATTTAAATTTATTTTAATAAATTAATCATTCAACCAGATTTGGCATGTGTTAACACATGATCATGACACATATCGTTAGTGACATGTGTCACCTCATGATTTGAATTTTTTTATTAATTTTAATTTATTTTACTAAATAAATTTTCTATCCAATCAAATGGTGACACGTGTCATCATTCGATTGGAGAAAAAATAAGAGTTCGTCTAGTTTTAGAAAATATAGGTTATTTTCATTTCTTAGAAAATAGAAAACGTTGAAGAAAACGTGTTTGATTGTAAAATTAAAAAATGATTTCTGGAAAATGAAAACAACAAAAGTTAAAATATGAAAACATAAAAAAAGATGTTTTCAATATTTCATTAAAATTGTTTTAAAAATTTGAAAAATAAAGAAATATGATATCTAGAGTTTTAACTTAACTTACACAAGTTTAAATCATTCTAACAGAAGCTTTTTTTTATTTAATGGTATTTGAAACCCTCAAACTCTTGTAAAAAATATCATGGTCCCTAAACTTTTTTTACACTCAATGTAGCCATTAAATTAATTTTTAATAGTTTAATTTTGTAATATTTTTATTTTTAATGTATTGAATATCTTAATAATTGTTTATATTTTTAATCTAAATAATTTTTAAATTTTTAAAAAATTAAATAAGTTCTCAAACTTTCTAAAATAATCAATTAAGTCCATCTACCACATCATTGTCCATTGAGTAATGCCACAACAATATTGTGAACTATCATATCAATATTGTAGATTGTCATGTAAGTTTTTGAACTGTCATATAAGTATCGTGACAATTAACGTTTTTATTCTTTTATTTAAATGGTTAGATTAATTTTTTTTAAGTTTAAGGATCATATTTAGTACCAAAAAAGTTCAAGGACTACAATATTTATTTTTTCTCAAAAGTTTGATGGTCTCAATCACCACTAAACATATTTTTTATGCTAATGACATTTTTGTGTAATTGCTTATAACAATATTTTTGTATATTGTTTTAAATTTAATTGATTTCCAATGTATATTAACATCATATTCTTTTTATAAACTAAAATAAATTTTGTGTTATGGAATTTCTTATTAATTTTATTGCTTTATATTTACATAACTCACATGTTAAATTTATGTAATGATTTTTTTAATAATTATAGTTTAATTTAATTATTTAATAACTATTTGTTTATTTCTATTCTAAAAATTAGATTCCACATACATTCTTACTATTTTACTTTTTGAATTCAAGTTTTCATTTATATTAATCAAACATGTTTTCTAATTTTTAAAAAATTAAAAATACTATTTTCTAAAAATAAAAAATAAAAAATATTTTCTAAAACCAGATATTAATGAAAATGTTTGGATAAACTCAAACCCGGATTACTGGGAAGGAGAACATGTACCCTAGCCACTGAGCAATCCTCACCATTTGTGTTGAGAAATACACAATAATGTATATATATTAATACTATAGTTAATGGCACCCTAAAATTTTGAATTCACAATATGTATATTTTTTAAACTAATTTAATATTTTTTATTTTCACATTTATAATTTAATGATTATATATATAACTTTAAATTGATTTTTTAATTTTTTATTTTATTATTTTTATTAAATATAAAAAATTTAATTTATATTTAAATGTAGGGATCATTTATATTTTCTATATATTTTATTTTTCTTGTATAAACTAGTATTTAAAATATAATTATATTTTAATAAAAATTATTTAAATATGAAAATGAAAATATATTTATATTTAAATGTATTTATATTTATAAATGAAAATATATTTATATTTAAATGTATTTAAATTTATAAATAAAAATATATTTATATATTTAAATGTATTAGTCATTTATATTTTTTGTACATTTTATTTTTAACATTAAATTATAATTACATTAAAAAGACTGTCATAACATTTTTTGAAAAATTAAAATTAAAATTAATTATGAATCTATTTTGAAAAATTATTTTTATTTCACGACCATTTCACCTTTTGAATCACGACCATTTCTCCATTTTGAATCAGAGAAAGAATTCTCTTTGAAACCTTAGGGATTAAGGTTCCAGGGGAACCCAAAGTAGCGCTGTGAAGTTTGGCCACACATTCGTTGCCTCCTATACTCAAAGACTCCCCAAGGACGATGAAGGCATGGAGAAGAAGCATAAAAGCGCCTCCATTCTACCCCCACACGTACAAAACCCACGGTTTTAATCTTTTAAAACTCTCTCCTCTGACTTGGATCTAAACTAAAGAAAAGAAAATACCTCAAAAAAAAAAGTCTCCTTTCGATCTCCGTTGCTCCTCTCGTCTTGACTTTTTTTTCTCGATTTCTCTATTTTATGTTGAAAACTCTCTCTGGTTTTTGGTTTTTTTTCCGAATATGTTTCCCTCGTTTTTTTACGTACTGATGCTGATCTCTTTTTTCAAATGATCTCCTTGTTTCATTTTTTTGTTGTTGAATCATTTTTTTCGAAAAACTCCTTTTTTATATATGGTGATATCCTTATACTCAGATTTGGTGGTGTCTTTAACGAGAGTTTATGGAAGCAATGAAAGCCACCATTAAAAACCCGGATTTTCTGGGGTTTAGATTTTCTTTGGATTTGATTTGATTTTAGTGATTTTTGGTTAGGTGAAGTATAGCTGAATAATGGTGGCTCAGTGACTAATTGGTGCCAATGGCAGCGGTAACCGGAGCTGGTGACGATGGGAAGCCGAGGAGTGGGCATGTGCATCCCACGCGCCCTCGGGTGGTTCAATTTTTGGCGGCGGCGGCTGAAGGTTTCATGAAGTCCTAAATGCTTCTCGGATCAGCAAACGTGGGTCAATGGTCTGGTTGGATATTTCCTTTTAATATTGGGCTTTACTATTGTAATTAATTGTTGGGTTGTACCCTGAAAAATAAAAGATGATATTAGTATATATTTTTATTTCTATGTATTATATATGTGTGTATTTAATATTTAATCATAATTAATCATCAAACATAATAAACCCTAAACAAAAAATTAATAATACTAATTAAAGTAAACAAGTGATAATAAAATAAAATGCAAAATATTAATAAATACTATAATTAACAAAAAAGATTGAATTAGAATCCAGACAAAATTCAATGGCTACAGTTGTTCCTCTGTCTATTGGTGTGAAAACACGAATAGGGAAGAGACAGAAAGACGAAATTTTGTTGGGTTCCATTTTCTGCTTTGAAATCTACTATTGTCTCAAGCGAGACTAACAATGATCCTCTTGATTAAGAGAGACATTTTTCAAAGTTCTATTTCAAGAGAAACATTCTCAAAAGAGTGAAATTTTATTCCTTTAAAGAGAATAAAGTTAGAGGTTGCACTTTCAAGAGAACAAAATTTTAAGCAAGAAAAAAATCAACAGAAACAATGTCAATGCTTTGTGTTCCAAAGGAAATTGTTTCGAGAGAGACAAAATTAATTTCAAAAGAAATTATCTCATGTGAGATAAAATTGTTACTTTTGAGAGAGAGTATTGTCTCGACTGAGACAAAATTTTGTTTAAATTTGTGTTTCAAGGGAAACTGTGTTGAGCAAGATGAAATTTTGTTTTAAGAGAAAAAATCTCAATGGAGACACGATTTGTTCTTTCACTTTGAGGAAGTCTAATAGTTGTTTGATGATTAACCATTCATTTGAGGACGTCGGGTTTGTTGACGACGACTAGTCACATTTGAAACCCTGTGCATCTGAAGACAACATTGTTCATTCATATTAAGGAAATCTGATCGCCCTTAGATAATTTACTTTTGAAAACGACATTGCTCCTTCGTGTTGTGGATTATGGCCGCTTTTGGGGTGATTTGCTTGATGTCAAATATGATTATGGCATTGTTCCTTCACGTTGAGGAGGCTTAGTCTGTGGATGACATTGTTACTTCGTGTTGAGGACGTCTAGTCATACCTGGATAATTTACTTCTTTCGCTTGTGGAAGTCAAAATTGAAGACAACATTGCTCCATCATGTTGAGATCTAATTATCTTTAGGTAACTTACTTGTCGAAGATGACATTTCTCCTTCATGTTGAGGAGGTATAGTTGTCATCAATCCTTTCTTACCTAAAAGGTGTCGCAACCGGCCCTTCTGCGGGAAAGCCGACTAGTTACAACGATGGAGTTTTTTGAAAAGGTTTTTAATGAAATATTGAGAGTTGTCACCAATCATTTTTTAGTGCGATTGAAACACCTAAAATCAGGTAATTTTAATAAAATATTTTTATTTTATCAAAAATACAAGTTTTAGTTTGTGAATATCAGAAATTTGGTTCGGGAGTTAATTACGCGTGGAGAAGGATTAGCACCCCCACGATGCCAAAAAATTGGTACTTAGTCGATTACCCTATATTCCAAATTAAAAATTTTGTGTTCAATTGTTTTATTTATTTTATAAATCATTACGTATGCAAACTTTGGAAAAGGATGTTAGTTTACCAAGACCAAAAACGACCACCCTCAGGCATTTATACAAAAGCTTCATTATCAATCTCAATAAAAAAAACAGTGACTGGAAGCGTAAGAAATCATGATATGGGATTTTGAAAAGGATGTTGATTTACTTTGAGAATTACCAGTAGTCACCACTGAGCATTTATGCGGAGGATATACTATTAACTCCCTAATAAATGAACATTGTCTTTTATTTTAAAATCAAAATGCAATCAAACAATCAATTTAGTGAACGTAACTATAGTAAGGGGTTAATTAAGGCTTCCCACTATCTTAAAGTGCCAAATTATGTAACTTAAGAACCTAGATGGCTAAACCTAGAAATGTAGGCTCTAATATTAATCATAGTAGATTTTAAACAATTATTGAATTGAATAAATGAAATGGAACATCGGGCATTAAGGCGAAGACCGAATAAAAAATTCTCCTAAAATCTAAGTATTCATATTAGGGACTACATTATTAGAAATCTAAATCTAAGGGCTCGGTCTAAAGTGAAGATAACTAATATAAATGTAGCCCCCCAGACCGACGCAGATAACCCGATCTCAACCAGGGTGTCACATTTGGGCCACCGGAGCGACCCACTGTAAAAATAGCGGAAAATTTAAAACTTTTTAAATTACAAGTAAACTAATAAAATCAGTTGTCACTATTTAAAAATAAAACAGATTTCTAGACTCGTATATAAATCAAAATACAATTACATGCCCCCTAATCATATGTACCATTTTCTGGAAACAATGCCGGAAGAATTCCTTTACTGATGTCGATAATTGCACTGGTACAATTCTTTTAACCTGCAATGGTGAGTAATAGAGTGAGCTTCGGAAAGCTCAGTAATACAGAACTACCAGATGATGCTGAAAAACATGCAGATACAGATAAACATATTTTCCTTATTGGTTTAGATATTTACAGATCTTTATGTTGAGCTGAGGTCCATTGATATCGCATGTAGTAATAAATAGTATTCATTTCAGATGGAAATATTTCGGATGTCTAGGTTCAGGAGATCAGAACATGTTTTCTAGTGTGTTCCCAAAATCATGTAACTTTTTGGAAGTCTAAAATGTGTAGGTTCCCCAGAACCATACACCCACCGTCAAGTCCAGTAGGCCCTGAGCACACAGCCGAGGAGCCGGTAAGTAAGGCCCTGAGCACACAGCCGAGGAGCCTCCAGGTATACTTCCTCCAACATTACCCCCCAAGTAAAACATGTTCCGTCCGTAAACGGATATATCAAAAATCATAAAATAATCCAGGTCAAGTATCAGTTCAAAATCCAGGTCAAGTATTCAATCAGAATCCAGGTCAAGTATCCAATCAAAATCCAGGTCAAGTATCCGATCAGAATCCAGGTCAAGTATCCGATTAGAATCCAGGTCAGGTATTTTAATAGAAATCAAATCGGAAATCAGGTAAAATATCCAGCGATTAGGGAACACACCAGAGTTTACAGAAATTATTCAGAGGTACTGGATAATCTTAACATGTAAAGGAACACATATATTAAGTATACCGATAGAATATCGGACTTCAGAATCACTATTGAAAAAGTTCAATAACTGACAAAATCATTAATTATTCAGAATATGACTTGAGCTGGTAAGGAAGAAATGAAGGTTCAGGACATTTACAATCTATGTCGATTGATCGGATTATCAAACAACTCTTAGATGAATAGCTCCCAAAACTAATGCTTGTCGATTGATCAATTCATTGTTCTTCCATGGTATTTACTCTTTAATACTACAAATTCTTATCCATCGGTCATTTTCAAAATTATCACTGAATAGATCTTCCAATGTCTTCATTTCATTTCCACGCTTCCACAATATCATGTAATGTTGACGTACTTGATTATTTTAATCATAAACAATCGTAATTGTACACTATGTAAACTCATCAGAGTTTCCAGACTTATCCAAATCACTTACTAAATCCTCAGTCATTGAGGTTACCTATTTCATTTAGCAGTCATGTTCATTCCAGTTACTTCAGGATTTTCCAGAGTAATTCAAACGTTCCTGAATTTCAGATACATGTTATACTTCCATTCAATTCGGTATTCGTGGTTGATTTGTCGAACAAACGTTCAATTCTTAGTACTGAATACGATCTAGAGCTGAGCTGAATACTTCCAAAATTTATCATCGAGCTAAACTTGAGAAGACGAACACATGTTCCAGTAATATCTATGCCATTCAGGTATTGACATAGCTTTAGGGTTGATTTACTCACTTAAATTATTTTCCATTACCTTTAAAGGTAGTCCAATACCTATGCTTACTTGGATTCCTTAATTAATCCAAGACATTTACCTAGTTTAGACCATAAGGTTATTTTGGTAATTTTGGTATTCAGTTTTATTCCATTCATTTCAGAGCTCGAGGATATCCAATCATTCCTGATCTTGGTGATATTCTTGGGTCATTTTCATTACAGGGGTATTTTGGTCATTTTACAGATCTATGGTATTTCAATCTTTTCCTTCCATCCGGTCTTATTATTTAATTCAATCTTATCATTTACTTTAGTCCCTTCAAACAATTCTGACAGCTGAATACCCCCGATAAATTACTCTTCAAGTATTTACTCATTATTCGAATATTTTCGGGTCAAGTGTCTTCTCAGATTTTACAAACATAATATCATGAATTTTTCTGTACAAAGACAGGATCTTAACAATTAAATTTGTACTTAATCGAGTTAAGTACATATCCTCAAAGTACTTTCTCATTCAGGGTCAATTCAGACTATTTTATCTCTCAAGGGTATTTTCGTAATTTCTTAACCAGATAATTTCGATATTAGCTCTTAACGAAAATAATATAATATAGAGATCCTATGATTAATTGCTTCCTCGAACATTCTTTGATCTTGAAATGATTTCTTAAAAGACTTCTAGTATCTAGCATAAACCTTCTTGGGTTTAAAAACTGGTTATCCATAATTTCCAAGTAAAACTAACATTTCTTATGCACATCAATAGTTTTAGCAGATCAATAATTATTTTTCAGATTTATTAATCCACTTCCAGAGACAATTCTTGTCATTTTCCAACATAAGGGTAATTTTGTAATTTTACCTAATCGAAATATTCTCATAATTTATCATCTAAGTACCTTTAATGAGATAAATTATAATCTACAATCCATGGTTGATTCTTTTATCACTTAATTCCAGAACTTGTAATTTAATTCCAACTGGCCTCCAATTTCTTATAATAGTTATCTGAGCCATATTTAGTTATCTACTTTCTACCGTATTCGTATCTAGTGTAGATCTTCATTAATTACACATATGAGACCAAACATTTCCATTCGTGCATTTACCAATACCAACATGTTCTATAAAGCATAAAGAGGTAGTAAAGTATTACCTCGATTTTTGTACAATACTGATCGACCATAAAAATTCCATTCGAACACCTTTGATCTTCAATTCAACTTACAATAATT